TACACTGCTGAATTAGGGACGGCTAGCGCAGATAGCCCTCGTGTAGTTTTGCGCGAAATTCAAAACAAACAAAGAAACATACTTAGAAAGTGATTTTACTCAGTTTTTTGGTCAGCTCTTTACATTGTGTGCTGGACCTCAACAGTAGCAAATAAAAAATGGATAAAAGTATGAGGGATATGTTTTCTTTTTGTTTTTTTGTTTTTGGTGTGTAAACAATTATGCTTAAGTTTTTGTGAATAACCAGTAGGCAATTGGTTTTAAAAGTGAGCTTCTAAAGTATGTTTAAATGTAGAATTGTTTTAAAGTACAAAGAAATAGCTATGCTGTAGATTGATACAAGTTAAGAAAATTTTTTGATAAATACTTGTCTTTGTTTTTAAAAGTGAGTAATGATGTCAGTTAGTTACAGATAATGCAAACACTCAATCTTTTGTAAGATTACAACACAGTACATTTTTCCTGATATGATTGAAAATGTTTGTCAGCAATAATAATTGGTCTTAATTTTTTTACATAGTTGGAGTTGTTAAAAACACATTTTATAAAACTGCTAGTTGCAATGATTGTAACATTTATAAATTTGATTATTCAAATGTGTAATTTAATAGATTAGACAATGGATTTAATAGTATTTATCTTTCTAATATCAGTTTTACCTAAACTGAAATTATTTCAAATTATGAAATATGCATGTCAGAGTTCAGTAAACAGACAATCAAGTAGATATAATGAACTGACTAGATTGTTTTATCAAGCAACCTACTTTACATTCTTACAAAATAAGTGCTTTTGACAGGGATTTCGACTCTCTTAAGTACTATTTTCTCTATTATTTCAATGTGTTATACAGTTTAATAATAGCTTTAAGTAAATGTGCATTGTATAGAATTAAGAACTTTTTATTGAACTTAAATATTGTAGGGTGGAAAATGACAGGTGTATTTTGTACCCATGGAAATCTTACAGTAAACAGACTTCTAAGGTATGTTCTTACATTCACTTTTATTTAGATTATAGTTTGACAGTTTCATATAGTTTTCAATGCATTAGCAGTTTCATTAGTTTACTAATCAAATCATTTTGATGAACTAAAATGATTTTTTTTTTCAATTATATTCAAATTATAACATAGTATTAAAAAAATGTAATGTCTAATACTTTAGCAGCTTATGTTACCATACTGTATTTATTCATTCTCTCTTTCTTCAGCACTTAAGATATCTTCAATCTATAACTATATTTCAAAGAAAATGCTATTAATTGGCATGAAAATATTACATAGACTATAGACAGGTTGTATCTTCTATGTTTTACACAGTTTTTCTTTCTAAGAATTTCCATATGTGCTATGTTGGATCTCAATACGTGAGACAGACAGTTCTTGTGGAAAAAAATTTAAATAAAATTAATAAAACGAGACATCAAAATTTTTTACTTACACAATAATTGCACAATAAAAAGATACAACTTAAAAAGTTTCCTCAAGGAAACTTTTTATATTCTATAAAAAATTTTCACCACAGTACCTCTGTGTTTCTACTCTTGCTTGTACTCTCACCAATAATATTTAATTAAGGTAAACCACTTTCATCATCCTGTTACTAACAATCAACTGTATAATCCTCTAATCATGAGTTCTTTAAATGAATATGGATATAACATATACCTATGTATATGTTGTTACGTAAAAATAATGTAAAGGAAATTTAAATTAATAAAAAAAATTCATCCAGTCGAACCTAAATAAATTCTTATTATGACTACTTAAGTACTGAAGTTGGGGTTATACATCAAACAACCCACAATTAATACAAATTTCTACCTGGCTTACAAGTAATCAAACATGGTTGTACATAGGTAAAAATTGATTACATTAAAAAAAAATGGTACAAAAAATTTTCGTAATTTTACTTTTCACTCTGTGAAAGTTACAATGTGTGTTTTATTTTCTTGTGCTTCTCCATGCAAGTTTTGTTCCTGTTCCTGCTCAATTTGCTCTGGTACATGTCTAGTTGGTGGTTGAAAGTGGGGGCTGGTGCACATCCAACTGTAACTAGCAGCGACCTTCCAGGTGGTACAATGTTGGTCTGGTTCCATATTGCTGCGGCTACTAACCTTTTATAGGCAGAGCAATCCAGCTCCTCCTTCACAGGGCATCATGAAGATTTGGGAAAGGAGCCGTGACTTCTCCCATGCTTTTGTGTACAACTGGGTGTGGTGATGTTTCACCTCCCGGCATATGTGTAGAGTTAATTAAAAAAATACTCCTCCCATCATAATTGATGCAGGTACGTGGACACCCAAGTCACGTGCCGACTGTCCTCTTATTTTAATATCCTCCTCGGAATAGGAAGTTGGAAACTGTAGGTCCTGCAGTTCCCAGTCAGCAGCAACTTAACTGACATTTCCTTGATAATATATATACTCCTGATATCTGAAACCCTTCGATGTCCACTATTGCACTCTTCTCAAAATAAGGGCTGTAACACGTTCAAATAATCTTAGTACACATAAGACACAACACTTAACATACTGAGCTATATAAGATGTTCTGTTTCTTGGTGGCTTTTCACACACAAAGGGTTCTACTTCTGGTTTGTCAAAATTTCTGTTGCCTTCCAATTGTAGTTGACATTCCAATTTGGTACATTTTGCTTCTTTTCAGTAAATTTCTTTGATGTGGTTTCAACTGAATTTGATTGGTTTTTTGGTAATTTCTACTCCTGTTAATTTAGCCTAATAATTTTCACTCCTAATAGATCGTTTTTCTTTAAAAGTTTGCTACCCTCATGGATTGGTTATTAAGCTAGTAAATTTTATCATCATGTAATGTAATTAAGCTACTTCCTATTTTTTCCTTCTAGTAATCTGTCCATTTTAAATGTCTTCAACAGATCAAGATGACTTTCTCTGGTCTTGTGCAACAGTATACTTAATAGCAAAACTATTAGGCATAATGTTACAAGTACCATATTGATCAGTTTCCACTTATCTAACCTAATACTGGCAGAGGTTATTCATAAGTCTTTAATGTGTAGTTGCAATTCTCGTATAGTTAAACTGGCTTTTCCTAAGAGTAAATATTTAGTCTCATCTAATATATTTCTTAAATTAGGGACCCCTATTTCTGTGCTTAAGTTGTTAAGGGCTTCTTAATGACTAACTTGAACTAAGTTAGCTAATTTTGTTCTACAACTTTCCACTGTAAATGCTAACTGTTGTAAATTATTCTGGACTCTAGCATTAAAAACTAGCATTTTCGCTCCTGCTTTGTAAACTTCTCTTTGCTCGAGTTTAGTTTGAATTAGTTCATTAGTAATATTTACTAAAGCTATTGATACTCATCTCATTTCTTCATCATGTTATTCAATTGTCTGATTCGAAGAGTTAATTATAGTTGCCTGTTCACTTATTAAATGTATCATTTCTTTAGAAACTCGTCTTTGGTCAACTACTTTCTTATTTAATTCTGTCAAGTCATCTGTCGTTGTTGTTCCAAAAAGGTATTTTAAAATACTTCCACCTGCATTAATCAGACTGTCTGTCTGAAGTTGAAATGCTGTTTTTGATATTGCTTAGTTCGCTCAATAATTTGTCAATGTATGCATGATATTTATGAATTAACATATGATAATTATTTATTAAACCTGTCTGCATTATCCATAATATTCGCATTATAACTACACCTTTATTTGTAAACATTGCAAGTTCTTCATGTTCATTTAATTTAAAATTTACATTGGAATTTCAATTAAGCGATTTTTTTGAATATTACCAGTTCTTTTAGTAGATGTGTAAATAATTTGACGTATTGTGGAAACGGAATATCTTCTACAGGTATCCATTTATCTTCTGATAAAATGAAGTTATCTTCTTCAACAAACACAGTTCCTACCTTATTTTCAACTGGAATAATACTCAATTTTTCCTGCTGTAATGCCGACAAGTAACATCACGGAAGTCCTGGTGTACCTAAACATATATCTGCATGAAAGAGCATCAGTGCTGCTTGAAGACTGAGTTAGATCCATAGTCTTGATACAAGCAATAGGCATCTGACTATTTATATTCAGTGAAGAAGAATTTATTCCTTCAGTTTCAGCACATAAGTTGGAAGGAGTAAACCCTTCAAAACTTAAGACCTCTTTTTTTCAACATGCAACAGGTATCACAAGTGTGCAAGAAATCTTGTCCCCAAATACCATCTGTATCTAAATCTACTTTTTTACAGATGAAAAAGGGATGATCAATTCTAATTTGTCCTATTCTTAACTGTACCATATATTTACCTAATGTCTTCACTCGATGTCCTGTGATAGAAGTTGACATACCATTAGTTACTTCTTCCTAGGTATTATCAAGTACTGTTGGATTTCTTTTGACAAAATCTGCATTTAGCAGAGAAGAACAAGCACCTGTATCCACCATTAACCAATATGCTATGTTTTCTATTTCTACTACTGGGGCACTTCATTAATGCACCTTATGCTTGATCTTTTGTTCCATACTGCCAGAACTACTACTGACATGTAATTCTGGCAGAATCCATGTTTTTTGGCTGTCCTTGACAAATTGCTGATTTAGTATTTTCTGGTAACTTTCATGAATAAGCTAGTTTTTAGGGCTTCTTGTTTATTCCTTTTTTTTTATTACTCTGTAGTTTCTCACCATATGACTCTAGATTCTATAGTTAAAGCACGAGATCTGCATCTGTTTTTTCAGATAAGTTTTTAGCTAAATGCCCTGACTTATTGTAGTTAAAGCATTTAAGACCATCTGCTTTAGGCTGAACTGGGTTTTGACAGTTAGTTTTATCAAACTTCTGCTTTCTATCCATGTTTATAGCTGAATGTTGCTTCTTATATATTTGTTCTTCACAAAACTCTTCTCTGGTAGCTACTTCTATCAGATCTAATAATGTAGCATCAAGTGTTTGCCTCATTTACATTTCTTCTAGTTACATTGTTAATAAGCCCACTCTCATAAATTGATTTCAGGGTATCCTGAACCATTACTTTGCCTGGTGGATGTCTGTATGCTCTCCTTATTTCCTAAATTCTGCAGCCTATGTCTGAATTCTCAGACTGATTTGCCTTTTACTTGAACTACTGCTTGTATTCTTTTCATTATTGTGTTAGGTGTTTCTCACATAGCATATTCTTCTGAGAATCTACAAGCTCTACATACTTGAAATCTGTGGATTCTCTCAATTGTGCATAAGTACTGATAAAATGCTGAGCATTACCAGCTGTTCTTAATCTACGTATATCTGCCTGTTGGGCATCGGTCCAGCCTGATATTCTTGCAGCTACATTGATAGAGTTTAATACTGGCTGTGTGGGTTCTTCGTTATCAGTATCAGCTCCAGTATGACTATCATGAGCAGATCTTTTCTCTGCTTTATGTCTAGAGCATGCACCCTGTACAGTGGAAGCATCAGCACCAGCTGTAGCCATTGTAACTTCTTATATCTATGCCTACTTAAGTTGTATGACTTATAAGTAGCTATACTTACTACGTTTCATTACTTTACTTAACCTGTTGTTGGTTTACCTAAACTTTTTTATCCTGGAGCACTGCGCCAATTGTAACAGGCTGCTCTATTGTGTGAATGAGAGAGTGTTGTTTGAGGCAACACGACACCAATTGCAATAGATTTATTTAAAAACCCAGGGTATGCAGTCGTGAGTGTATATACAAGTCAACCAACTTGAGTACATTTACAAGTAACACAAGGAATAAATGATACTGAGTCCAATTCTACATCAAAAGATATACACTTTATTAACATAAAGGCTTATAAATGAAGGCTTATAAAGAATGGAAAACAATAATACCAATTACATGAACGTTTACACTTTTCAGGAACTTGTAGTAGATCCATAATGTTTCTAACCCTATCAACATTACTTATTTAACTTTAGTGACATTTGCATTATAGATCATATTTCTACCTGGCAATATTATTAGGGAAAGGAGGGTAGCAATTAAAACTTGCATGGAATTAGTGTAGTGCAAATCTTGCACGTATAGATAAACTGCCATTTTCTGGCTGTATATCTCTGGAACATACATAAAAGACATAAATACATAAAATAATCCATTCCAACTCGTGTGGTAGACTTCAAGGTGATTGGTCCAGCAATTAGAATGGACTCGTCTTCCTTTAGTGATTGGTTGCCAGTGACCAAGGGCTTGATGTCAAATAACATAAAAGGTTACGGGAAAGGCTACCTGTGTATACATTTTCTTATCCTCTATAGTCTGTCTTGAATAAACATCTTCCAACTAAGTGGTATCAGATTACATTTCACATCCCTGAACACAATTGTTTAAAGTTACATATCTGTCTAGTTAGAATCACTTTATGTAAGAATCCTCTCCATTATCTCTGATATTCAGCCAATGTTAGTTGTTCTTGACAGGCGTGTTCAACGTTCGTCTTTCGCTAGCATTTCACAACTGTTATTTTGCAACACATCCCAAGTACATAGTTTAGTTTGGTCAAAGCATATGTTTATTGTAAAGTGGCAGTTCAGCTCGTGAGAAAGTAAGATAAAATGCTTGTTTAATATTTTGCAGCATGGCTATTAAGCTAAAAGACTGTAGTTAGCCTGTGAGAGAGTATAGTTGAACTATTTGGTTATTTTATGGTGCTTGAAATTCTGTTACATACATTTGTTGAACAATTACTTTGAAACACACAAAAGTTTATTTAATGTGATGTTTTAGATGCCTATGTTTTATTTGAAAGGCTGATTTTCTCCTGGTAAACGTTTATATGAACTTAGTGGGGGTTGTGTTTTAGTCTAGGTATATATTTGCCCATTGCTGTGCATTATATATGTAGAGAGAATTTAGTTTTGCAGAAACTATAAATGCTCACTGTATTTTCAAACAAATCTTCATGACAATCTCCAGCTGCAGCTTAACATTTTACATCTTGAACTAATGTGATCAAATAGTCAATAGCTTCAGTAAATCATCATGAACTGTATCAGGTAACTACTAGCTATGTTTATTATAATTACAATGTATAAAGTTAGCTACCTTATCAAGTAATTTTAATACCCATACATGAGCATTAAAATGCCAGAAGACAAGATAAATAAATGAATTTTTAAATACTCATTTTTTTTATCTTGTTCTTATATACCTTTTTCCTTTCATTCTCTTTCTTCTAAAATTTTGTATAAACTTTCACCAAATACTTAGATTATTAAACATAATGTTGATATGCTGAACCTGACTAATAATTAAGTCATCTTATGTTTAACCCTTTTGCAACTAATATTATGAAAGGTTATTCCAAGAATTTTATTTGGTGACTGATATGGTATGGGGCATTCAAGTGCTGATGGTGAAGTGTGTCTAAAATGATATAGTTTTAATGGTACTTAGCTTTTTTCACACAAAAAGTTACCTATAAATAAAAACATCAAACTTTCAAAAAAAATTAAAAGGAAAGGGTGGAGGGTAGGGAACCTTCCCATTCTGCCTCATGGAAATAAACTCCATGCCTAAGAAAACTCAAATGCAAAATGCTGATTTTTATTAGGATATTTATGAATTGATAAAACTTGTCAATTGTTAAGCTTTGATTTTGTACCTTTGAAAACTGTGCATTACTTTTATGATATCTCAAAGTTTGTTTGTTTTTTTGTTTTTTTTTTGTTGTTGTTGTTAGTATATTCAAATATGTGCTTTCTTTTGCTTCTATCAACAGAATCTTTCATTATCTAACTTAACTATCAAATCATTTTTTATTACTGTGCTTGAAGTCTTGCTTGAATATATATTCTTTGGGTTTTGTATTATCATAAATTTCATCTTGTATTTATGTTCTATTCATGGAATATTTGCTTTTTTCTCTATCAACTAAATATCATCTAGTAAAAGCCATAAAAGTGGTCTTCAATGCCTATGGTGATAGTTCTAAATAAAAGAGAAGTTTTTAATATCTTCAGTACAGCTATAATGATCTTTGCTGTTTATATAATAATTCAAATTTTCACATTATGACAGAATGATTGCCCAACTCCAGAACAGCCATCCAGTTTAGATGATTCTGAACACACTGAATCAGATACTAGCTCAATTTCAGGCTTGCCTGATCCACTTCAACTACCAGAAGGGACACACTGGGATGTATTTGTTGGCTGTGTCAACAGTTCAGTTGACTTGGCAGTGAGGCTTTTGGATTATGCTGTAAGTAGTCTGTCTTTGTTTTTCAAGTTATTTCAAGGTTATAAAAATGGTGTGCACATTTGTTTTGAAATATACCAACAGCATATTTTTCTAGGTCTGAAAAGAAATTTAAAATTTGAAAAATAGTTTGATCTAATTATTTTAATGTTCCAGGAAAAATTTGATGAACTAGCTACTGACATGGAACTTTATTATTTTGACAATAATCATCCAGTTAGGGAAGTTGTTGAAGGTGGTTTATATGCTGTCAAGAGTGATGAATCATGGCACAGAGTCCAGATTCTGTCCATGGATGAGCTAGAGGTAAATATGTTTATATATTCACAACAACTGATACTTTCAGTTAGTTATGGATAAAAACTGTTTTTTGAATCATTAACCTCAGTTCTGAATACTTAATACTGTAAAAGTACAACTTTTAAACGAATGAAATACAGTCCTTGAAACTCGTTTGTTTAAATAAAAAGAATGGAATCACAACAAATTCGAAAAGAGAGGGAATTTGTTGCCTAAATTATTTTAAATGCATAGTAAACATTCATCTTAAATATTTATTTTTGAACCTCTGTTTTCATTTCATAAAAGTTTTTTAACTCTGTGAACTTAGTGTTATTTTTCATACATAAACAAGTCACATTGCAACAGCGTGGCTGTACTGATTATGTGCAGTTTGCATGTTAGGCATAAGTGGCCTAAATAGTGTATCAGTCAAAATGCATAATTGATATGGTGCTCAATTTTTCATCTTGTGTGATTTTTTTCTGCATACAAAAATAACAACACTCAATGAAATGTTGTAAATAGCAATTTAGAAAGCTAACAAAAACTTTTGGCTTATGTCCAGAAGTAGTAATATACTGTAAAAGACAGGAAAGGAAGATAAAACGTTAAAAATTATAAAAATAACCAAAAGATATTTTAAGATTATTTGACGAAGAGTTAAGGAGTATGTAAATATTTCTTTTCTTAATTTCAAACATTTCATTGCACTGTACACTGATAATATTAGCTACAGTTAATAATATGATAGAGAAAATGAAAATATAAACATTTATCTTACAAAAAAATACTTTATTAACTTAAGAGGCTCTAGACTTAACATGAAAATCAACTTGAACTATTCAAAGTGGAGATAGCAGAAAGAAATCAAAAATATATATATTTTATCTTTCTGAACCTATATGCCTTTAGGAAAGTTCCTCTCAAGTTTCAAACAATTTCATCCAATAGTTTTATTTTTAAACAAAATTTGATGAGAGTTACGTAACCCTACTTATAATGAATGTAAGTAGATTACACTGAAAAAAGGTGTAAAATTTTGTTAACAGTTATTTATGTTGTTTTTTTGCAGGTCGAGTGTTACTTTGTAGATAATGGAGATACTGATAAGGTGATGATTACAGATCTACAGGAATTGGAACCAAAGTTTCTTTGTCTTCCCTTCCAGGTAAAATTATACATTTTTGTGTAAATAATTCAAAGAGTTATTTTTCCGTTTTTTTTGTATTTTTGGCTAAATTTTATCATTTTGACTCTTAAATATCTCTCAGTAGATACAATACCAGTAATGGTATGCTGCATAAGAAGTTAGGCAAGTTTGATAAAAGTGGGCAATCAAGCTTCCAGTTCCATTCGATATTTGTACAGTTTGAAGGAAGTTTAAATATTAAACCAGGCTTAGTATTTGTTGTTTTTTTTACACTGCTTTTAATTCATCTGTTACAGATTTCATATCAGAGATGTATAAAAATAACATTACAGATATACTTTTTGTCTCCTACAAGTCACTGTTCAGGAGGCTTTTTGACTTTCAAAACTGTAAACTCAAAGCTTGATGCTGCATATAACATTTAGTGAAAGGTCTCTTGGGGAATAACTTGAGTGGGGACAATAAAATACATCTGTCATTTTGCTTTTACACACTTCTGTGTCTGTAACAGACAAGGTAAGGGAGGGTGTAAAATATTTTAAACTTCTAGACCACATATCACATTTGTTCTTTTTGTTTGCATTTGTTGCTAATTTTTGGCCAGATAGTTCCAATTCACTTGATTATTTTGGAAGTAATAAAATATTGACCCAATTTTTCAAACTAATTCCTAAAAAAAAGCATCATAAAAAGTATCAATTTAAATTTTGACTCTAAGCTTTTATGCAGTCATATATTCATTAGCATATGAATGCTTTTACACTTTTTACCTTGAACAAGTTCTTTCAATTTACTTCATAATAAGCATCTGTTAAACTACAAATAATTTTGTGGTTTATCAGATTTTTTCTCTATTCTCTATTATTTAACACTTTCAATACAGGCTTGGTCAATCTGACCAAAAACGTGACTTTTTTTGTACTCGTTTAAAGTCTTTATAGATTTAATACTTATAACTCTCAATATGGTGGGTATATCTATATCAATATAGAATTAAACGTAAGAGAACTATTAACAAACCTGATAGAGAAGATGTGACAAGTGGGTGTGGCTGAGGGGTCTGACTTTCTATTTGATGGCTTTGTAACCAAAGAAAATTGAAGGCTATAAATATTATGGTTTGTCTGTGCAATGTTGATTTTCTAGTGAGTAATTTATGTTAAATTTTATACTTATTAGAGAGGTATTGAATAAATTAGAGCAGATAGGATGCCTACAGAAAATATCACCTTTCTCACACTAGGAGAAATTCAGGATTTGTTTAAATATTGCCTTATAAAATTAAGAACTTAAAACTTGTAAACTATTAAAATATGGATTATTAGTTGGGATTTTATGCTACACTAATTGGTATAACCTAATCAATAAAAATAGTTAATAAAATTTTCAATATGAGCCACTAAAACCTCGTGATATGCATAGTAAATGATGCCTGGGCAGGTAGGGTTAAGGCAGCAGAAGTATTTGTAAAAATATCAAATATATAAATCACTTAATGTTATTGTATTGTATAATTGTGTTTTTTTATTGTGTGTTCACAAGGTAATTGCACTTAATATTGTTGCATTGTATAATTGTGTTTTGTTGATTGTTTGTTCAAAAGATAATTGCACAGATTTGCTTATTATATATGCTATTAGCAGATTCATCTATAGCAATCATTCGTCATTAGGTTTATTTCATGCTTTTTCAGAGCAAGTTCATAGAAATAAATAAGTAACAAAGATGTTTTGATTGTGTATAGATATAAGGAGGTCATAATTGATACAAAATTCTGTAAAGTAATATTCCACTTAAGTATGCCTTAGCACTGAAAGTATAAGATTTAGGAATGTGCACATATATGAAAATGACACATAGTGAATTGGTTGCAGAATTGTAGTGAATCAATTGCAGCAACTACCAAATTATGCTTTACGAAGTGTCATAACTACATAACTGACATTGGGGTCATATTTAATGCTCACTAAGTGCACCAGTGACTTAATAATGCTTTTCATACATATATCTAAATATTACTGCTACCATCTTCACATTCATTGGCATGATAGCATTCTTCAGGTCAGGTTACCCAGTTAGACATACAACTTTAGATAATCCCACAACCATAATTTTGTTGCTGTAAAGTCCAGAAAATGTTGGGACTATGTATATGGAAATTAGCAAGAAATGATTCTTGTCTTTCCTAAAGTATGTCTGTCACAATCTTCTTGTTTTGTGACCAGTGTAGGGTGGATTGCCATGTTGCATAAATACTGCAACATTGAACACTTTCCACTGCTTCAACTGGGGTATCACCATGTGAGCAAGTAGATCATGTAACTGCTGAGTTTAATTGTGCATGCAATGTTGGATCTGCCAAGATGTATAGATCAAGAAGAAAGCCTGCTGTGAAACTACACCTCTAGATCATGTAATAATCATATGAGCATCTTTTTCTGTGTATCTCAAAATGTTTTACTGAGTTACATTTGAAATTTAATTTAAGTACTTTATTATGATGATATACAAATAAATTTGACATGAAAATGTAGCTGATTACCCAAATTTTAATACTACACAAGTTTTAAGTTTTTAATTTTATAAGACAGTATTTAAAAAAATCCACAATTTCTCCTGGTATGAGGATTGTGCCATTTGCTCTTTAATCTATTTACCACCCATCTGAAAAGTAAGGAAATTCAATGTAAGTTACTCATTATAATGTTGCCATTGTTCAGGCAAAGCATTGTTTTTATGTCTTTCAACCTTATTTGGTTACGTAGCCATAAACTAGAAAATCAGACTCCTTTTGCCATTCCAATCTGTCACATCCTCTTTCAGGATTTGTCATTCGTTCTCTCTTAATTTAATACTATATTATTTATAACCAATAGAAAGCCAAAGTTTTCATCTATCAAATGATGTATCATATATTACATTGTTTTCTGTACAGAAAATTGTGTATTCACTTCCAATTCAAATTTTATTCCCATGGGAAGCACATCGACGAGCTTAGCTGACTTTTTAAAGGCTCTTGTTGCATAGCTAGAAAGCTAGAAAAATTTTGATAGTTATGGGACATTGTATTCTTTTTGTGTATTATTATTATTATATAATCCTTTCATATTGGGTACTTCTTTAACTCTCTGAACATGGGCTCGGTCAAATTGACTGACCTCATAACCTCTTTGTACTAATTTAAAGTCTTTATAGATTTAATACTTCTAACATCCAATATAGTGTGTATATCTTTAAAAAATTTGGCAGTCTTTCAGTTAACATTATAAGTCTTGGATACAAAAAATCTTATTTTTTTAGTGAAGTATTTTTAATAAAATAAAGGTTTGTTCATGAATATACTGAATATTTGTTTTGAATAGTCTGTGTGCAAAGTGATTTTCATATTAAGATTAAAAATACTTTTCTTCATCTCAAAAATCTCAAATTTCCTTTATGTAATCCCTAAAACCTTCTAAATACATTTCAAATGTTGGTTTTCTGTAAAATTTTATAGTTTATCTGTTATTATCTCTACCCTATCTCTAAACGAGATCAGTCAATTTGACCAACCTCATAACCATGAAAAAAAATTGAAATAAATCTAATTTACCCTTTTTTTTTCTTTCGAGAATGACTTCATATTGTAGCATGAAACTTCATTAGTTCATCCTAAGTAGCTTTAAGCTCATTACAGTATACTTCTATTTATAATTTTATTTTATTGTTTTATTACCCTTTGAACTATGTCTAACTACTATCTGCACCATTATAAGTGAAGCGTGCATGCCTCGTGAAATGTTTTTTTATTGTATTATTATTTATTTTACCTAATCTAATCTTAACTAACCTAAGAAGATCTGTTTTTACATTTTAGTTACTTTTATAATAATAAATAAAGAATAAACATGAAAAAAAAAAGGTATTTACCCAATCTTTTTTTTTTTTGATTGTTGATGAAACTTAACCCTA